TATCGTTTTAACTCGAATCCAAATCCAGTGTTTTTAATTGCTTCGAAGGTTTAATTTGCTCGAAGCTATTTCGGAGATTTATTATACGTATCTTGATCCGCGATAACGTTGATTAACTCGGTTTACTTCTCCCTCGATATCGAGAAACGTGGGAAATTCTATCTTGAGGATGTATGGAATATTTGGTGGGTTTAGGTAAGCAAAAAGGTACACCTCCGGTCAGTTCGATCCAGACGGAATTGGCAATATCGGTGCCTTTTCGCAGACCTCGCCATCGTGAATCATCGTTGCAAGAATATCTTTGTCTCTTTCTTTTTCTCGCTTCCGCCTTCTTTTCGCGTTCCTCCCGTTTTTTCTTTTTCCTCTTTTGCTTTCCATCGCCATCTTTTCTACATTTATTCCTTTTGCCTTTGCTCGTCCGTAGCGATTCGGTTTTCCTCAGCGTTACTATACCGCGCGACGTCTTAAATGGACGACTTGGCGACGAAGGGACCCCTCTTTTCTTTGGTGGCGCGCTCCCGCACCAAATTTACGGCCACATTCTCCCGCGATCGCGCTAACCTCGTTTACGAGCAGTCGTGCAGCTACGAAAGAAAGATAGAGAGAGTAAAGAGGAGCGAAAAAGGAACGAATCCTGTAAAGCGATACTACGTGATCCTCGATCATCCTTCGGGCACCCTTTCGTCCAATTACGTCCTTTAATTCCCTCTAACTTTCAAAATCAACGGCCATTTAAAAAAACTAAATGTATCGTTCGTTTCGTTACTAAAGAGGTCGCTAACTCTTAATTCTATTTGACTCCTGCGGAAATTTATGCCGGACTTTTCACTTAAAAGGATACGTGGCTAGGAAAGTTCATGGCAGAGCTTCGATAATTCATGACACTGTATTTTGTTTTCCTTAATTTCTGTTACCAACTTTGGATTTTACGAAGGAGTTGAAGGGAGTCTGTGACAATTTATGTATTTACATGATATTTTTTTGTGAGGTACAAAATTTTTGCTCAAATAAAAAATTCGCTCTGATGATCGAATTGGTGTGTTATGAATTATTGAACCCCTAATAGCCATGCTATTAATATACATAATATAATAAACTAACGTATAATATATATAATATATAACCTAACCACATATGTATACATTATTTGTCACACACTCTGTATTTTTGCAATTTCAACCCCTTTCGTAAAATCCAGAGTTGATGATAAAAATTGAGGAACGCCTGTGAGATACAAAATCTTTGCTAAAATACAAGACACATTTGCTACATAATATATATTATAAATAGTAAATAATAAGCAATCTAAATTATCTATAAGAACGAAGAGTATCGACATAGCGCACCCCCTTCGTAAATTCCAAAGTTGGTAATAAAAATTGGGGAACGTCTGTGAGATACAAAATCTTAGCTGAAATACAAGACACATTTGCTACATAATATATATTATAACTAGTAAATATATGTATAAGCAATCTGAATTATCTATAAGAACGAAGAGTATCGACATAGCGCACCCCTTTCGTAAATTCCAAAGTTGGTAATAAAAATTGAGGAACGCCTGTGAGATACAAAATCTTTGCTGAAATGCATTTGCTACATAATATACATTATAAATAGTAAATAATAAGCAATCTAAATTATAAGAACGAAGATGCACCCCTATGCACCTGTTCACCTGGCGAATTCCGAAGGCGACCAACATAAAAATTAAGTACTAAAGATGCGATAGCGACGCGAGAAAATGGGAATGTAGATTCAGAGTGGTGTCGCATTGCGGCGCAGGGGCAAAAGTACCCGATGTACCGACCTCGAAAAGTACGACACACGATTCACTCGAAACTCGAGCGAGGCCGAACGAAAGTCGAACGACGCCCCTCCAGATTCATCGGCTGTCCAGCTAGCGACAAATTTCTTTGCCCATACTTCGTCGAAACAATGGGAATTGTCGACGAGTAAATAACGCCGCATGGGCCGACTCTGTGGAACGAGCAACAGATTAATCCAACGTATGCTAAGTATGACCGTCCAATTTCGGGGAAATCGTTCCTTCATACGGGGTCAAAGAGCGCGTTACTGCATATCTAAACGACTACCGAATATTTCCTAACAATTTTGATCTTATCGGAGACTATAAACGAAAATTCTCTTTCCGGAAAAAAGAGCAAAAAACTGTTCACTGTTCAAATTCACAATTTGAATTTTAGCATTTGGCGAATACTGTATAAGGTTAGGTTAATAGTTCCACTTCGAATTTAATGAAGTTAATCAATATTGTTCAAGTTAGGGCGTTTCGTTTTTTTTATTATTCATGCACAATTGCATTAGTAGCTAGGTTATTATCGACCAGGGTGTGAAACATACCACAATGCATTTTTACGTTATTTCGTGCAATCTTATCTGATATATTATTTACATTTACAATAATTACCTGGATAATAATTTCTGGCGACTTCATGTATTATTTATATTTACCCAGAATCAGTGAAAAGGAATTCAGAGAATTACATGTGGTAATTGAACTTCCTATACCTTCTGAATATTTCAAACATCCCTTCTTTCGTGACACTCGAGTTTCCTGTAAAATCTTTAGCTTCAGAATTTCCTGTAAAACCATTAGCTTCAAAATTTCCTATAAAATCATTAGCTTCAAAATTTCCTATAAAATCTTTAGCTTCAGAATTTCCTGTAAAATCTTTAGCTTAAAAATTTCCTATCTAATCTTTAGCTTCAAAATTTCCTATAAAATCTTTAGCTTCGAAATTTCCTATAAAATCTTTAGCTTAAAAATTTCCTGTAAAATCTTTATCTTCAGAATTTCCAGTAAAATCTTTAGCTTAAAAATTTCCTATCTAATCTTTAGCTTCGAAATTTCCTATAAAATGTTTAGCTTCACAATTTCCTGTCTAATGTCCAGCAAAATCCAGTAATAAATATAAACTCGAAAGACCACGCGGTGAAACAAGTACCACCATGAGCAAGTATCACCGCAGGGTGTAAATCATAACGAACGTGTTAATTGGAAAGTTCTAAAAAGCGAGAAGCAACTCGTTATGTCGTTGCAATACAAGCAGAAATCTCGGTGGCTCTTATTGAAACAAGGCGACCGAGACGTCCCGGAGTCTCGTGGCAGCTCTCCTAATCCGCGAGCCAAAACCTCGTTCGTCGCGATACGTGACAGACGATATTGATCACGCGATAAAAACTTCCGTTCCATTTGTTCCGGCCAACGCGATTTTGTATTAATGACGGGGGGACGAAGACAAACAGGGGAGACAAGGTAAAGTGAATAGGTGCGAAGACGGAATCTTTGGTATAAGAGGAGAGAAAGATACGTAGATAGAAGAAGAGGTAGATGGAAAGAGAGGTGATGGACAGAGAGGTAGATGAGAGAGAAGGATGAAAAAGCAAGGAGGGTGTAAGGACAAAAGCGACACGTTCGCGCGGGCATATCTTTACACGCGTGTATATCGGTCCATACTTAAGAGGTTAAGCGCGTGCAACCAACAGGCCGGTATCTCTGGTTAAGTTCGTGGCGCTCTTTCATAGAGGGCTGAAGTTACGGCGGGTGTGGATGTCGTTGGCTCTCGTAACAGAGTCTTCGACCGTGGCCGTATCGAGTCGATGTCTGTGTCGGTAGTGCTCGCAGACTGGTTGCGCAAGGGTAGAAAAGAGACGAGTAAGCGAGGGTGGATCGCAAAGGGGAGAAAGAAAGGAGAGGGACAGAGAAGAAAAGGGACACGAACGGAATGGAACGGAACGAAACGAAACGGAACGAAAGGAGCAAAGCGACGAAAGAGACGGCGAGAACACGGGCTGCGGGGAAGAGAAGGTGGAAGGCAGACGGGCGGCAGACAACCCGTGCTTATCCCCGCCCCTCCAATGACTCCCGGTTCGTGACTCACCAAACCGTTAAGGGATGAAGCCGCCCTGCTTTCACTCAACGTACGCACACGATCGCAGATATTTGCAGATCCATGCGCGTCAACCTACTCACACTACGACGCCCTGCTCGATAGCGACGCGTCTCTTGTTACGCCTTTCCTCTATCAAGCTGGATTTCCACCCTTTTACACTATCCCTCTTCTTCACCGTTTACAAATTTTACTATTCCACTTTTACCAAATTTTTACATCTTACAAATTCCTCTATAGCTCTAGTTGAACAATGTGCAGTATGGTCCTCTTATTAGTGCAATCATGTATCACACCTTTTTGTTCCCAACTTGGTCGCACTGTTTGTACACGTGTACTACTAGTCTCCCTAATAGTCTTAATCCCTTGCAGTATTTTGACCAGCTAGACTCGTCACGCACTTACGACAAATCTTGCTTGAATATTTAATATATTTCAATTTGAAGTCCAATTATAATTTGTATAATCAAAGACCGTTGAATACAAAATCGTCACAACATTTTGACTTTTTCAAACGATTTTAATACTATTGCAGTTAATAGTTACTTCTGACTGACGCACCTGACAAACTAATCATAGGGGTTAAAATACTAAGACTAATTAATTGTCGTAAACTACTCGACGCCCTGCTCGATAGCGACGCGTCTCCGCAGCTCCACATGCGTCGAACAATGTGGACTCTGCACTCCACGCAACCGAGTGTCCTCAACACCTTTCCGTTCCCAACTTGGTCGCACCATTTGTACTAAAAGTCTAATCCCTACTAGAAAATACTAAGATTAGTCATTGATTAACTCTTTGCACTATGACTTATTTGTCAAGTGCATCAGTCAAGACTAATTACAGCTACATTATTAAAACAGATCAAAAAGATTGAATTGTTATGTCAATATTATTCGATCGTTAACTATGCAAATTATAATTGAACTCCAAGCGTAGTAAGTTCTACGCTTCAAGTTCTAAGTGTTGAATAAAATTGATGACAGCTGAGGTACGAGTGCGTCAGACTCAAAATAGTGCAAGGGGTTAATATTATCATAAGATTGAAATCAAGCGTAGAATCCTTGTAATTCATCCTCTTTGCAGGAAGAACGTTGAACGGCCAACCACTGCTGGAGTTCCCGATGTCCAGCGGCGAGCCCGCGTTGGAGCCCCTGAAAATCAAGAGGGCAACTCTATGGGCGCGAGTGGAGTTCAAACACGCCCATCACTACCAGCACCGCCGTCAAGGCGAAAACCAAAGAAACGTAACACTGTGGGTGTTCAGGGTTCGCTGCGGCAACATGACGCACTTGCGTGGAAAGGTAAACCCTGATCCTCGTTGCTATCGAACAGAGTAAAGGAATTTTCTCGCTTTTATCCGATTTATATAAATTTAATCGCATTAAAACGTACCGCGATCTTAAGCCGCCTTACCGATAATTTGTCCAATATTACCGGCTACGGTTGTCGGGTTTCAGCCGATCGGGAAGCTTCGAATACCGTTGAGCAAAAAGAGAAACACAAGGGGGGAATTTACGATATGTCGCTTTCGTAGGAGCTCGGCCAACATCTGGAAATGGTCACGTCACTAGGAGTGAACGTCGGTCAATTGGGCTGGTTAAAGTTCGACGTGACCGGGGTTACGAGCAGCTGGTACGCGACGAACGAGGGATCCAAAGACAAGTTGACGTTGCTCGTCGATTGCACCGGATGCGGCTCAAGAGTTCACGTCTCGACGTTCGACGGTCACTCGCCGCACGTCATCGAGTCCTCCTTTGACGCCAAAGGTAAATATTCAAATTTGTTTCGACTGTTAGCGAGTTCCCAACGTTTCGCCAGCATTGGAACTTCATCAGGGATACACTGATATGGTGTCAACAGCAATACCTGTCTGACGCTGAATTAAATTAGCTTAGGTTAGATCCTTCTTTGACGTAAAAGGTAAATATTCAAATTCATTGCTGCTTCGTGTGTTAGCGAGTTCCCAACGTTTGTAAGCGAGTTCCTAACATTTCGCCAGCATTGGAGCTTCATCAAGAGATACACTGATACAGTGTCAACAGCAATACCTGTCTGACGCTGAATTAAATTAGGTTATGTTAGATCGTTCTTTGACGCAAAAGGTAAATATTCAAATTCATTGCTGCTTCGTGTGTTAGCGAGTTCCTAACATTTCGCCAGCGTTGGAGCTTCATCAAGGGATACAGTGTGAACAGCAATACCTGTCTAATGCCGGAAAGTCTCGAGTCTCTCATTCAAATACATTATTCGCTAACTCCAGATAAAAGTTTAATTTTAGATCGAGTTTAGAGTATCATGTACTCGATGTTGCAGGTACTCAAGACCCGGACCGACCGTTTCTAGTGGTCCGCACGGATCCAGCGGCCGTGAAGCGAGTGAGGAGACGAGCGGTCGAATGCAGCGGCGCGATCAAAGGCCAGTGTTGCAAGCAGAGATTCTACGTGAACTTCTCTCAGCTGGGTTGGGACGACTGGATAATAGCTCCTCAAGGGTAAGATCCAAAGTATAAAAAAAGAGCGTCGGACGTTCGCCGATCGGTGTCCGTAGGCCGTAGACTGCGTACAGTCAGTCGTAAGGTATCTCGTGAAATCGGAGTGTCGCTTACAAGTGCAACGGCCCTAAACCCTTAACTCGCAAGCAATTATCGTAGTCATCTAAGGCTTATCGAACAAAGAATCGAATCGCGTGTTTCGATTGTATAACGATCGTTAGATTAACGCGAACGCACTTTACTTGCAGGTATTACGCAAACTACTGCAGAGGAGACTGCGCCGCAGGCCACAGAACGCCGGACACGTTCCTCAATTATTACACCCACGTGATCGAGGAATACCGGAAGATGGATCGACTGGCCGGTATGCAACCGTGTTGCGCTCCGCTCAAGTTCTCGCCGATGTCGCTGATCTATTACGGCCCCGATTCCAACATCATCAAGAGGGATCTGCCAAAGATGGTGGTGGACGAGTGCGGTTGTCCCTAAGTGTTCCTCGGTGCTCGACACTCGGTGCGTTCGACCACCGATTCGCGTTATTATACCTGTGTACATTTTGCTCCACGTTCAGAAAATCGAACGCTCGACACGTCCCCAGACTCCAAACGTGGAGAAACGCGTATCGGAAACGGCTTCGAATCGCCTCAACCAACGACCCTTCGCGATCACCCTTCAAGCACCACGGCTCGAGTTACGCGATTTTCGGCAGACGATCCGGTTTCCTTTAGGGTTCGTACTGGTATTACGGAGATATACGGTCAGAGTCCGTTTGAAAAGCGATCCGTGTGTTCTCGAATCAGGTCCAAAAGCAATTTTCTACGTTACAACGGATTCTCGATCGCCGGCAATCCGATTACGATGAAACGAAACGACGCGACACGACGCGACACGACGTGACCGGACGCGACACCGCAGTAGGGACAATCGACGAAGTAACGATCATTGGACGACAGCTTGATCGATCGTTGGTTTCAGACTACGTTTCCGATCGCGGAGCTCAATTTTCGTCCGTTTTATATCGATGGATGAAAATTTTGCGACGCTCGAGCGCGGTAAATTAAGATATTAACCAAAATTCTTACTAAGAGCTTAACCTTTTCTTATTAGCCGCGACGAGAAAGAGGAAAGTAGAACGTATGAAAGTAAAAGAGACTATATATATATAAAAATATATATATATATATATATAAATAGAAATATATATATATACTATGTATACATAAACCGACGTATATGTATGGTACGTGTACTTAAATATACATACGTATGCATACGTATACGCGTATACAAACGCGCGAGCATGAACGGACGTGCGAGGTGATTCAGCCGAGTAGAAATACTTTAAATATGGTCGTAAGGTTAACTCGTAAACGATATAACTCAATCCGATTGCCTTGTTTTTTATGCGAAACGTATGAAAGTATCGACTAATGATTTAGCGAGCTAAAGAACAAAAAACTAAGAGTACTATTAAATATACATACGTATATGTATACCGTACGTACGCATAAGTATATGAATATAAATACAAATGCAAATACAAATACAAATACAAATACAAATACAAATATAAATATATAAATATATAAATATAAATATACGCGTAAGGGCGGGCGCATTGAACGCAGCAGGGACGGGCGGGTGGGAATAAAGGGGGCAAAGAAAAGAGGGTGGGTCAGGGTGGGACACGGGGTGTATTCAAGAGTTCAAAAAAGCCAAGGGAAAGATTATCGTTTACGGAGTAAATGATGGCGAGTTTTCACCTTCTGCAAATTCAGAAAATCAACGACCGAACGTCGATAAACTCGCGACAGCTAATTTCGCGAAATCCGTAAACTCATAGGCAATAATTAATAAAATACGCAAAAGACAATACGCGGTTCGTCGATGATCTGTCCAACGGATATTCTCCCGCTTTTTTATATATACACTTTTCAAATTCTTATCGTCGATAAAAATTCTTCGATGTATTTTTCAGATAACCATTTTAATTCCACCGTCCATCTATAAAAAGAAAATAAGAAAAAAAATATACAAGTATCACGCGTGTTTCCCACCGTCGCTACCACGTATATTTTAAGAACGTTTCGAAAGTAACTTCTTTAAACGCAAACTGAGCACACTCGCGTTTACGTACAGTGTTAGTCGACAAGCGTTAAACGAGAAATCAAAATACATTTACTCTTTCGAACGTTAACGAAGAAAGAGGATAATTCGAGACGCGCGATACGAGCAGAGCGCGAGAGCGACGATATAAGTTGCGAATAACGAACAATACAAAATGACAATAATTAATCGAAGGTCTTAAAAAATGTCTCGAGAATCGAGACGGGTGATTCTTTTATATACGTATAAGCTAGCATATACGCGTTCACGCGTTTTCTCTCCCGATTCGTTAATTGAAAATCAAATTCTTTTCGTTTTACGGACAAAGTCCACAGCTTTTCGAAGACCTCACGGTTTAAAATGGTAGGCGACTATTCGAAAAAAAAAACACGTGATAATTCCGTAATTCCGTATTACCGTGGGACAGTTCGCTAAACCCACGCAGCCTTATTAGGCCTTATTAAAGTATTATCGCATCACTATTAAACTTAACCATTAAAGTAACGGTAAGGCTTAAGGTACTCGAACGAATATACGAAAAAAGTGACGGCGAAAATTGGACGCAGAAAAGTTGATTTCTCAGACAGAAATTTATTTGGAAGATAAGTCCAACGTTTCGTCGTTCATTTAGCCAAAAAAATGAATTGCGTCCAAGGTAATGTTAAAAGTTTAAACAATCGTATTCTAGTATCGTTAAGGAAATTTTCTCCTTGTTCCTTTTTATCTCTTCTTCCGCAACCTTACTCTATTGTCCCTTTTTACGACGACTATCGTTACATTACTATTACTAATATTAATATTTACTGTTACTACCATTGCTGCTATGACCACTACTAGTACTACTTCTACTTCTAATACTATTACTATTACTGCTGCTGCTACTACCGCTATTACTACTTCTAATACTATTACCACTTTTACTACTACTATGCATTTTTATTAAAGATGCTGTTTCTAATATTATAATAACGATAAAAAGAATAAGAATAAGAATTGTTATTAATACTATCACCAATATTGTTATTATTACTACTACTATCGCTACTGCTGCTACCGCTTTAGTACCACCGTCATTAATAATAAAACAAGATAATAATATTAATAATCGTATTCTTACTACTAAGACTGCTACTACTAACACAACCACTTTTATTCTTACACTTGCTACTTCTAACTATTTTTATATTATATAGTAATAATGTTAAAATTAATATTAAACTGCCTCTGCTTTTATAGCTATTATAGTACTACTATTAACAGTACTATCACCTCAAATGACTCATCGTCATTGCTCCTTCATTTTTCTATTAACACGTGAAACCAAAATGGCGGACGACGACGATGATCAATTGCAAATGGCTACTACTACCACTACTACTACGATCACAACAATAATAGTAGTAATTGTAAGGGTAACGGTCATAGTACTATCACTAACCTCTTCTGCCTCATCGCCATCATTCCTTCATTTTTCTATTAACACATGGTGGATGACGACGATGAATTGCAAATGGTTACCTATTACTAATAGTGCTACTACTACAATCACAATAGTAGTAATTGTAAGGGTAACGGTCATAGTACTATCACTAACCTCTTCTGCCTCATCGTTGTCATTCCTTCATTTTTCTATTAACACATGGTGGATGACGACGATGAATTGCAAATGGCTACCTATTACTAATAGTGCTACTACTACAATCACAATAGTAGTAATTGTAAGGGTAACGGTCATAGTACTATCACTAACCTCTTCTGCCTCATCGCCATCATTCCTTCATTTTTCTATTAACACATGGTGGATGACGACGATGAATTGCAAATGGTTACCTATTACTAATAGTGCTACTACTACAATCACAATAGTAGTAATTGTAAGGGTAACGGTCATAGTACTATCACTAACCTCTTCTGCCTCATCGTTGTCATTCCTTCATTTTTCTATTAACACATGGTGGATGACGACGATGAATTGCAAATGGCTACCTATTACTAATAGTGCTACTACTACCACTACTACATCAGGATAGTAGTAATGGTAAGAGTAACAGTAATAGTGATAGTAATAATTATAAGAAATCGACGCGTACCGTTTCAAAGTTTTAGGGGACAGTTCAGCGAGGGAAGAAGAAAGCTTGTAATCGTCTAGTAGCGAACTTGTATATATGTATATGCGCCTTCGTTTAGTATCTAAGTACGTGTATCATGAAGATGAAACTTCATCTCAAGGATTCTCCAAATATTGGAACTTCTCCCTCTCTCTGTGCACATATTTGCAGCGCAGATTAAAGTGCCTTATGACAGTTTACTCGTACTGTAAAGCAATATCCAAGACGGTAAGATTGCAGAAGAACCGAACGAAAGGCAGGAACAGACAGCAGAGGGAGGTTGGCAGAGAGAGGGAGGCTTTGGATTTACAACTGAGATTGCATCAAACTAGAAGTTGAAGAGAAACTAGAAGAGGAAAGATTAGAATGAAGTAAGTATTTTTGAATTCCTTTCCCAAAGATTCGAAAGGAGATGAATCGGTATTCGTTGTGTATGCGCGTACTGCGAGACTGAACGATTTCGCAGAAATTCTTAGCGGAGAGATAGGCACGTAGATAGAACGTTGACCCTCGAGCGGAATTGAATATGCCGTCGAAAATTTATTCGGAGATTTAGAAACGTAGATCGACTTGGCGGACTTATTCTGTGAAGATAAGGTCGTTCGAGGGTTAAGTGAGAGGACGATGAAACGGAGAACGCGTCGATCAAGATCTGTTGAAGCTCGCGCGATCGCGAATCGTTTCGCTAATTCCTTAGATATCTCGAGTTCTACCTTTCTCTTGTACATAAGCCGCGAAACGTTCAAAATCGAATTCCTTTGTAATTAACACGACTAAGCGTTAAACTAAGCGTTAAGCGTAAGCGAGCGTACATCTGTAATTATTCCTACGATGAACGTGCTTTAGCCAATGTCGGAGCGTGTGTTACCGATTTATGCGCATTATTATTATTGTTAATGATATACAATTGTATTTACTTTTATAAAATAATATCGAACATTGTAATTAAAATTCTATACCGAAACTACTGTGTATCCAGACGAGAGACGAATAAATAAAACGATCAGAACGATTCGCGACAAACAATCGATTCAATCGATCAACGAGACATTCCGGTCCTAGATCGTGGTGGTCCTAGTGATCGGTCCTAGTGGTGGTTCTTCGGAGAAACGATCGATCATGGGAGGTTAATTATGGCAAGTTAGGACGAGGATTAAATTACAGCGTCCTGTCTATCGATAGAAGACTGTTCGATCATCTGTGTTTGATCATCGGTCGCGTTTCGATCGACTTAGTCATTCATTCACTGTCGCAGCTCATCTATTTTACATTGGTTTCCTTTACGGATAACATCATCGTTTTTGTTGCCAGAATATATTTATAACCAGGTAAGTATATGTAAAGTACAGCTAAGTATTCAAAAATTATATATACAGGGTGTTTCGGAGGGTAGCTGACGTGATTTTTAATAAAATTTCCCTTTACAGAAATGAGATTTGAAGCTTCGTTTTCGAATTATTAAGAAAAACGCGAACCAATCAGAACGCGAGGACTGCGCATGCGGAGACGCGGAGCGACGCTTCGAACCTAGCTGCGCGCGCAACTGTGTTTTTCTTAATAATTCGAAAACGATGCTTCAAATACCATTTTTGCAAAGGGAAATCTTATTCAGAATCATGTCAGTTACCTTCTATTACAGGGTTCTACACTAGTTAGGTATAGAAGTTACAAAATTGAGCGTCGGTATGAAACCCTTTACGAACCGTAAATGATACTATCCGCCGGTACGGAAGTAATCCTTCGTACATGATATCTTCAAGTTTTTTATATCCATATCCATCTATACTACAATGTATATATATATATGTATTCCAATTATTAATATGTCAATTATTTATTTATCAAATTTTTTCATTTCAAAAATTTTCTCTCGGGTCGCCAAAATCAATTTGCACACACATCTCCTTTTCCAAAACTTGTTCGATATTAGTACATGATTCCAAAGTTAATTACTCTTGCACTCCGATGTAATTTAATGCATATCATAATAGATTAAATCTATTAAATCAGTGTTAAAATAATTATACAACTTTGTTATTGAATAGAAAAATGTACAACATACCTCTTCATATATTCTATTATCCTGCTGCCAGGAGAAGTTTTCAAACCATTCGTACAGTCGCGCCTTACCGCTGTACATGTCCACTGCGCATCCCTTCTGCGCAGAAACTTGTGCCACCTCCTCGCATATTCTGCTATCCTGCTACCAGGAGTCGATTCCGGAATAGTCGCTGTCGGCCATTTTGACGCAGATCTACTGCGCATTTTTTTCGCGCAGATCTACTACGCATCCCTACAGCGCAGATCCACTGCGCATCTCTTCTGCGCAGATATTCGTGCCACCTCTTTGCATATTCTGTTATCCTGCTACCAAGAGTCGGTTCTGGATTAGTCGCTGGCGGCCATTTTGACGCAGATCCACCGCGCATCCTTGCAGCGCAGATCTACTGCGCATCCTCTTCGCGCAGATATTCGTGCCACCTCTTTGCATAGTCTGTTATCCTGCTACCAGGAGTAGATTTCGGAATATTGAATTGTGTCGGCCATATTGACGCAGAGTTACTGTGCATCTTTCCGCCCAGGACTACTACACATACTTCTGCGCAGAAATTCGTGCCACCTGTTTGCATATTCTACTATCCTGCTACCAGGAGTAATTTTCAGGTTAGTAAATCCGTTATTTATTTCCCCCACTACTCCGACATTGTTGGAAGTCCTCCACAACTGTTTTATTATCCTGTTACCGACAGAGTAGTTTCAGGAAGTGAAATCGCTATGCTTAGACTGTTTAATAAAAGCAATTGTTATACGACAAAATAATGAAATGTAGAGATATAGCATTAGAAACTTCCAGGGACTTCATATTTATATAATTAATCAAAAAAGCACAATTTTTAATTGCAATAAATGTGTAATTAATTAAAATGTATTCATGATACACCTCCTTGCACATTCTACTATTTTGTTGCCAAGAGCAGTTTTTGGAATCAAGATTCCGTAGGTATTTGTTTGTTTACGATTATATTTTACGGCTCTGAAATCTATTCTTGGTAGTGGAATAGCAGAATGTGCAAGGTGGTGGCACGTTTATGTACCCAGTGCATGAATGGTAGATAATAAAGTGAGAGGGAATCTTAAACGTTTTGTGGTTTCGAAATCTGCTCCTGGTAGCAGGATAATAGAATATGAAAGGAAGTATAAGGAAAATGTATAAGGAATTGAAAAAACAAGACTTGCATAATATTATCAGTTTATTAAATTAAATAATGCTTCCTCTTACTGTTGTACAGTGATTAGCACATTTTAATAAAAAATTTGAAGTTGAAAAAGTTGGTATAATTAAAAAGACGGATTCGTTATAAAAACGGCACATTAAATTAGCATACAAATAAATTCTTAAAATAAAGTCAAAGCAAATGATTCTTTAAACACAATTCAACATCACAAATTCTACAAATATACAAATATAGGCATTGATTACAAAGAAAAAACCTGAAAAATTGAAGAAACAGTGGATAAAAGGATTTTAGGAATGTGATGCTTAATAATTACAGATAAATAAATTTGCTGCACAAAGTGGTAACGTGAAAGCATTAAAACTTACATTTTTTGATTCAAGAATCTCTTATTCATCAAATATACATCAAATGGTGCATTATGTATTAGGGAGTCGCTTGAGTAACAACATAAATGAACTATTTGATTTTACTTTACTCCTTTTAAAAAAATCAACACTCATGATTCTCTGATAGATATATTCCTTTCTTGTTTCAACTTATTACATATCTTAAACTACATAGAGAAACGTTTTGTACTTATAATAATGTTACACAGTAAACACACTAAAACAATAAAAATTAGATCTTAGGTGTGTACCTCGAAATTTAAAATACCTTACCTCTTTTCATAACATTGCGATTTTGAAGTTACAGGGCAGATTTTTCTATCTAATTAACTCCATTATGAGCAAAATTAAATCATTTCAATTTTTCAATTTCTAAGTGTCCCAATAGTTTTTCCATAATTACTCATCTTTTGCAATGGATCTCCAATTGAAAAAATATTTCAAATAAGACATGAATTCTACAAATTAAAAGCATTTAAAATAAAGTTTAGTAGCAAAAAAAGTGAAATCAATAAACATACTTGCAATTATACAAATGCAAGTGAAATATTTAATATGCTTTAGGGACTCCTCTAATATCATGTATCATATACATTTTGAAAAGAACCTATAAATCATAGATATGTGCTATAACAGTGCCATGCTTTAAACAATGACATGGTTCTATTAATCTTCATGATCCTACCAAACATTTCCAGTGCATATTTCTTTCCATGCTTTAGATAATTTATCTTAATGAAGTTACTACTGTAACAGGTCAATCGTATTACTATTTTGTATTATACATACGATGAATATTTACCAATGTATGCAAGTATTGAAACTGTACTTACGCTCATTGCCAATTAGCACTGGATACTTTGTATATTAAATTTAATATATTTTAACTTTTCAATTCAGATTATTCAACGATTTGATTTGGCTTGTTTAAAAACTGCCAACCTTTCCTTTCTTGAATTTTTTTTTAATACTTTGCTTACAATATAATTTCTTTCCTGCAACAATGTAACAAATTTAAATATATTCAAACAATAATATTTGAGTATAGTGAAACAGATTCTGTACATAAATTTACTATTTACTAAAAACAATCAAATTAGGGTTTACAGTTTTGAATTTTGTTCACGATCTCATAACTAAACTACATGATTTTTATCCTATGTTCAAAATAATCTTTATATTTCTGCCCCAATTACTGTCTCATACTTCAAAATCGCGCTTCATTTATTTTTTTATAATATCGTGAAAAATAATATGTACGTTCTGTAAGATGATTGCTCGCATTACCAAAATCCCGAATTAAACGAAAAACCGTCATCTTTGATTCATCGATTTTCTTTTTATTCGGTTTAATTTTGAAACATGATGACGATAAGGTTAGGATCACTCTAGGCGTCTTTTAACGATGATCATCATCGTCGCACGTTGATGTAATTCGTTGCAATGTTACAGAAGATGTTTTATTACCGTGAAAACCCTTTGATAATATTGCATCGTTATTTCTCGTGGACGCTCAAATACGCCTGGACTGATTCAATCCCAAAATGGTACATTCTGTACCAATAATATATAAAACATGAGAACGTGATTGCCTGGTTTGAATTACGAAGAATGAACGTGATACGCATTGTCGCAGATTATATAATAATTTACCATATTTATAGTTGACCCAGGCCCGGTGAGATTGTTCACTCTCCATTATTTTCTAGACCAGCAATGGGCAGATTAAGTGCCCGAAGTGCTCACGGGCACGGCTCTGCAATGGATTCAATATTTTCAGATTCTAGAATTTTCAAATTTTCAAATTTTCAATCCTTTAAAATTTTCAGCTTACAAACTCTCGAGCGTTGAAATTTGTTCGCATTTACACACTTCCAAATATTGAAATTTAGAAACTTAGAAAATTGGTAATTTGAAAATTTGGAAATTTGAAAATCAAGAAATATAAAAATCAGTTGGCAATAAATAAGAGTTGCCCATCACAGTTCTAGACAGCGATCAATGATGATAAAGATTAAAACGAATCAGCGGCATTCTATTCTCACTTCTATGGTAATCACTGTCTGGAGAAGTTTCGAGGATCAACGATACCTTGTTCCAATCAGCTTTACGATGTTTCTCTTTATTATTATATCTGCGGTTACGTGTCGCACGGTATGTTCGATAAAATCGAATTTCGGTTGAAAATTCGGGAATTCATTCAGCGCTTGTTTACCTCATTATTCACGATAAGAATACGTATATACAATTAATCAGAATAATTGGTTTGTCAGTCGTTATTGAGCAGGACGTTATACTGATCCGACATTGTACTATAATTAACGAACAAAATGAACGAGAACGAGCAAACGCAACATTAGCATTAAACGACGTTTAAAATAAGCATAACGTTGTTTTCATTTTTTTGTTCTGCGCACGCGCGATAGTTACACACGATAATCTTTCGATTTTTAATATCATGCACGCCTTATCCCATTTCAACTAAGAGCTTACGATCGAAACATCGAACTAACGACGAATCGATGGCGATTAACAACCAAACGGTAAAACAGAAACGCCAAAGGATTCGTTCGATAACTTATCCTATGATCCTTCATCGAAAGGAAATCTATAGTTTGTGCTTGTACAAATACTCGCGAGAAACAAACAGTTTGCATGCAAGAAACGAAAGAAACGAACGATGTGACCCTTAATGGATCCACTAATATAAAATATAGATACACCCGCACGATGGAAGATTTTTCTTTCTTTTCGATACATCGTATGAAGCGGGTTCACGCAACCTAACCGACAACTAAACGAGCACGCACGGAGAAATTAAATTGTTTCCTTCGCTTTCTTCCCATTTTTTTTCTAACTTCATACATATATGTATATCTCCGTATTTGAGCTGGGTTTACACTCTCGCGAAATTCACGCGAATTAACCTGCCAATAAAAATTTCACGTCTGCACAGGCGCAACACGTTTGAGCTCCGCGCATGTGCACTCGACCCTCCACCGTTTTCGCGCGACACCTTTAAAATTTAGAACCTTATTTAGCACTTTAAATTGAGTATGTAAACGGGATTCAATTCGTTCGAGATAATTTGCACGCGCAGATTGATTGACGCAAATCGTGCGAGCTCGTAAATCCAGCTTTCACTTGCAATACATATTTTTTTTCTTTTATCAAGGGTATCGACACACTTGCAATACACTTGTTCGGAAATAAAATTTCCATGCTTCGTTTGGTAAATCGTTCTCTCTCGATCCGCTTGTTCAGTCCATTTTTTAATATTTTTTTTCTTTTTTTCTTTTTTTTTCCGTTCCACCTATATATTTCACATTGAACAATATCCTCAGTCTCGACTGGTCAATGAGCAATACTTTAGGAGATCCCGATTTTAAAACGAGGTCTCGCGATAAAAGGGAGGGTAACGTAAATTCTCGTCTCGTGTTTATATCACTACCGCTCGCTCGATATTAATTAATAATCTAAACTCGTACGTCTCGTGATAATGCGATTTCTCTTAATATCGACTAATTGTCCCCTCGAGAATGTCACCTCCGTTTCTCTTTTTATCTATATTATCACGAGTCAACGTTAATCGCCACGATAAATGAACGCTTAACGCTGACTCGTCCTCTTTTTTGTTTCTTTTTTTTTTAACTCTGTTAGACTGAGGATCTTTTTTTATACACAGGAATCATTGTTTCATTTAACGATTTACTTGTCAATTATATTAAGTATATTATTTATAAATTTATTCGCACGTAGTTCTGTTTAACAGGCCGTGGCTATACAGGGCCCACTACATTGATTTTTTATCCTGTGGCACGCGGTCTTCCGAATATGTTACAGGTGTGTACGCATGTGTACGTGTATGTGTGTGTTTAATGTACGTGTACTCGCAGTTAAGACTTAAAACCCTTATACCGTTTTCGTTTTCGCTTTTTCGCATGTTACGTACATGTATATATTATAAATTCCGACACTACTTCCTACCGTACCGAGCGTTGTTATTTCGTTGCGCTTTCCTTGGTCTTTTTAATTATATATATATGGTCATCGAACTTCAGGCATGGATTATCGAGTACTTCCTGATACACTCTGTTCTTTTGTTAATCATTAACACGTTGACTGCCACGACAATCGAAATGACTTCCCTAGGGAAAACGAGCTCCCACAAAATTTGGAAACTTGAAAATTTAGAAATTCAGAAATTTGGAAATCCAAAAATCTTTTTAAGAATTTGAAAAATTTAGCTAGTCGAAAATGTTCGGATTTAGAAATTTTCAAGTTTACATATTTCGGAAACAAATGATGCGAGATTCCCTACAGTAGCTCTTGGTTGAATAACCTACGTTGCACCCGAGTGTATCACACGCTGTAACAAGACTTGAGAATACCCCTGTCTTATTTTTATTTGAGCTTTCCTTTCTCTATATTATAATATTAAAAATTGCTTCCAGCGTGTCTTTGGTTCGATATTCAATTCATAGCTCATTTATGATCCTCGTGGCAATCAATGTGTTAAACCTTGTATGAACAACCAGACTTAATTTCTTGTTTCCTGAACCGCTTCAGATCTTCATTCTTTTGACATTTTCAAGTACAGAATTTATACAAAACATTTGACACATTAGATTATCTGGTTGCTTATACAAGGATTAAACAAGCGTACGCAGCACAAAACGATGTTCCCTGTATCGTAATTCTCATATACACATATACAATTAAATCAGTAAGTTAGAAAATAAGTCTCATTTTGATAATTAAAACTTCATGAACCGAGAGCTAAAATCTAACAATTTAAAATTTTCAAAGAATCAATTTTCAAATGTTGATAAAACACAAGTTATGTTTAAACACATCATTGTCAAATGTAACAAACTGTAACAATTCAAGTCTGACGCTTCTAAAGATAATCTACGGTACAGAGAACAAACGCTTCATCGGGATTCGAGTCGCGCGCAAACAAATGCAGTACTTTCTCAAAAGTTGACTGTACCTCATTGACAGATGGTCTATTTCAAATAAGTACCCATTCGAACAGGTCTCATGTACATTTTTTCTGCTGTACAAGCAATAAAATGCATGTTCGATACTCGTAAAACCTTGTCAGAGCTAGATCTAAGATTTTCTTGGAACGATGGTCAACTTCTAACAGTCGTACAGTCAACTTTGAAGAAGCTACCGCATCACCCGTATTTCTGTTCTATTTCTGCGACTCCACGTTCTCCCCGCTCTGGAACAAATACGTGGACCAGTATCCGAGATTGAATATGATGAACGTGGCAGGGAAAGCGATACGCGACACGTAATCAATTCGCGCAGTACCCTTAGCTCTACAATTGAACCATTTGCATGGTAGAAGACCCGAACAGCATTTCTCGATACGTGGAAGCGACAGTCGTCGAAAACGGTTGAAGTCTTGCGGTGGTATCGTTTGTACCCTACGTTGCACCCGAGTGTATCACACGCTGTAACAAGACTTGAGAATACCCCTGTCTTATTTTTATTTGAGCTTTCCTTTCTCTATATTATAATATTAAAAATTGCTTCCAGCGTGTCTTTGGTTCGATATTCAATTCATAGCTCATTTATGATCCTCGTGGCAATCAATGTGTTAAACCTTGTATGAACAACCAGACTTAATTTCTTGTTTCCTGAACCGCTTCAGATCTTCATTCTTTTGACATTTTCAAGTACAGAATTTATACAAAACATTTGACACATTAGATTATCTGGTTGCTTATACAAGGATTAAACAAGCGTACGCAGCACAAAACGATGTTCCCTGTATCGTAATTCTCATATACACATATACAATTAAATCAGTAAGTTAGAAAATAAGTCTCATTTTGATAATTAAAACTTCATGAACCGAGAGCTAAAATCTAACAATTTAAAATTTTCAAAGAATCAATTTTCAAATGTTGATAAAACACAAGTTATGTTTAAACACATCATTGTCAAATGTAACAAACTGTAACAATTCAAGTCTGACGCTTCTAAAGATAATCTACGGTACAGAGAACAAACGCTTCATCGGGATTCGAGTCGCGCGCAAACAAATGCAGTACTTTCTCAAAAGTTGACTGTACCTCATTGACAGATGGTCTATTTCAAATAAGTACCCATTCGAACAGGTCTCATGTACATTTTTTCTGCTGTACAAGCAATAAAATGCATGTTCGATACTCGTAAAACCTTGTCAGAGCTAGATCTAAGATTTTCTTGGAACGATGGTCAACTTCTAACAGTCGTACAGTCAACTTTGAAGAAGCTACCGCATCACCCGTATTTCTGTTCTATTTCTGCGACTCCACGTTCTCCCCGCTCTGGAACAAATACGTGGACCAGTATCCGAGATTGAATATGATGAACGTGGCAGGGAAAGCGATACGCGACACGTAATCAATTCGCGCAGTACCCTTAGCTCTACAATTGAACCATTTGCATGGTAGAAGACCCGAACAGCATTTCTCGATACGTGGAAGCGACAGTCGTCGAAAACGGTTGAAGTCTTGCGGTGGTATCGTTTGTACAGTGACCGCCGGTGGCGATGGGGTCGCTCTGCGAGACGTGGTAGGAGATGGCGAGGGTGAGGGCGAGGGTGACGGTGAGGACCTCGCAGGGCTTCGGCAATAGTGTCGCGAGCTTCTCGTGGAGTATCGGCCGCTACTCTCGGCGTTGTGCAACGAAGAGAACGAGGACGACCTCGGCTGCGAGAGTCGCACGTGGTAACGTTGATGCTGATGCCGTTGCGAAGGTAACGATTGATGCTGCGGCGGCGGCGGTGGCGGTTGCTGCTGCGGCGGATGTTGCTGTATGGTTTGTTGCGTGTTACCGTGATGTTGATGATGCTGGTAATAGTGATGATGCTGGCGAAAATGATATTGTTGACAACGTGGACGCGTATGATGAGGTTTCTTGTGAATATGATCGGAATGGCCGCGAGCCACGTTCCTTGATGATCCGAGCGCTTCCTCGTCGACGTTTACTCGTCCTCCTCTTCCTTCCGAAACAGGTACGTGGACCAGTACGCGAGGTTGAATATAGCGAATACGATGGGAAAGAAGATCCGTGAGATGACGTCGATGCGCTTGGACCTCGTCGGGAACTTGGACAGCCACGACCTGCAGCAGTTTTTTTTTCGTGGTTGCATATGTAATTCGCAGTGCTGCATCCTATCCACCGACATGGTATCCTCCGGTTGGCGGACCAGAGGTTTCTGAAAAAATGCCGACGACGTCGGGTCATTAGTTACCGTTCGATTATCTTCCTTTATTCCTTCCTTTTTAATTTCGTTTCTTCTCAACGCTTTCAGTCACAACTACAGTTACAATACCGAATACTTGTTTCACAAGCATACTTGTTTCATAAATTATGGAAAGAAACTTATGGTATATTCGGTACAGTTACTGTACTTGTACAGTGAATTTAAATTTCCTTTCTTTTGCAAGCCACCGTTTGTGAATCGAATACATGATCAACAAGAAAAAAAACAATTAACACGTAAAGCTGACTGCGGTGCAATTTTTTTGATAGTGTTGAATTTCGATCTCGATTGAACTTACACGTGCATGCTTTGATCTTTGCAAAGTTTACAGAACGTCAAGAAGAGGAGATCGATGCAAATTCGTGAGGGAAGTATCTTTGAAGGATCTGCTCTTTTACGTTTAGCCTCTGACACGATACAGCGAGGTAAAGGTCTTTTGAAATTCTCAAAGTTCTGACGTTTCAAAGTACCAAAAGTTTGATGTACCTCGCTGTATCCTGACTAGGTATCAAGTCATTCGATAAGTAAAGTGATTACAAATCCTACGATTCCCGTGTACTACAATTTTACGTTACTTATAGAACGACGTGATATAAAAATTCATGCAACGATGATAGTGGCGATATTAAGGTACGCGCACATCCAGCTTTGATCAACGATAATTTAAAAAGCTGATTCTTGTTAGGATGTCAGGTAGTGGTATCAGATACTTGAAAGCCTAACGAATATTCGACGAGCCACTAATTACAAAACGCTTGGAAAATTCGTTCCTTTTTTTGGGTACAAAATAATCGTTGTGTACAATAGTTCACGTTACCTACGTAGCATTATAAGGAATAGAATAATATTATGCAACTTTCATTACCAACGGATAAATCGCATACATAGTTACAGGTAATCTAGTCAGAGTTTGCTTTACCGAACGCTGAAAGTCGTATTACCGAATGTAAAAGTAAATTAGATATAAAATACTGGACTTGAAATGAATTATTTACCTGTAGAGAATGTTGAAGTGGTCCATCATATCCGGTCTAGCAGTTTACAATAATAAAAATAAAATAATAGAATGAATGTACGTTATGGTTTCTAGGTTCAAAATGTTTCAATGATTTAAATATTTCAACTATTTCTTTTCAATAAAAAAATAGGAAAATTCACGTTTAAACTATTTGCTGATGAATTAGCTTGGAAATTAATTTCATTTAACGCTTCTCGTCCAACTGTCGACAATTGCAAACGTAGCTTTTATCACTGACCAAAGATGAATGTTGTCAGGAAATTTCTTTCTTACTCTCTGTCCTTATTACACCATAGAAAAATCAGAATCATTTGCAAGAGGTTGTGTGAGGTGGAGATTCCATCATCTAACAAGGGATACAAAACAAATACACGATGAAAACAAAATTACTGGACCAAGGAATTCGAATAAAAATGTAGGAAACACAAGTTAACTGTAGACCGATAAACTGCGATCGAATTTCAAATTAACACACTGTTGTACATCAAAGGTGTAGGTCTTTTTCATTTTTAACATTGAATACCGGAGGTGCAACACACTTACAGTCCAGTGAAATTAGCAAAAGCAGGTTTCGTACAAAAATTTAATTCTGTAATCTACAGAACTTTATCATATAAACATGTGGTCATATTTTTTTTCTTAGAATAAACTGTTCTGAATTTATTTACATTATTTATATTAAATTATGTATTTGTTAAATGAAGGCAGTAAATTAAGCGGCTTACCAAGTCCCATACTAATTCTATTAAGGTTGAAGCTTCCTTTCACTTATATACAATAAAGTTTCTCAAATTAATTTCTGTACGAATAACTGCTAATTCGACTGGACTATATAAAAAATAACGGAAATGGACGGACACTAGCGCGATCAAAAACGAAACAGAGATACAGAGAGGAGACTGGGAGAGAAGTGTGAACATTAATTAAGCGTTAGGACATAGTTAGAGCGAAATTCCGATGTCTGCGAATATCGTTGGATACTGACCATAGCGAAATTCGACGAATTATCTGGTTCGATTTGATCGGACGATGGATCGATCGACGACGATTGCTCCGTTTCAGACGGTGGATATTTTTTCTCCATATTATCGCTGTGCATATCGCTACGCGACGCATAATTTACTAGGGCGAATTCGAGGAGAGCGCCGAACACGAAAGTCAAGCACACGCCTGTCCAAACGTCGATAGCCTTTGTATAAGACACTGGCGGCAGTGAGGCATTTATTCCTGACGTCTGCGTAGCCATCGTCAACAGAGTTGTCACACCTGCATTTTTAAGAACACGTTAACCAATTTTACTAGTACAAATCTTATACATTATACCTAGTTACAGCAACCATTAGAAAAGACCATACATTTATCTCATTTTAACAGAACATGTTAACCATAGAATTTCACCAGAACTAGTACAAGTCTTTTATACATTATGCACAGTTATAGCGACCATTAGAAAAGACAATCCATTTATCTCATTTTAACAGAACATGTTAGCTATACAATTTTACTAGGACTACTACAAGTCTTTCATACATTATACACAGCTGTTATACAAAAGACAATATATTCATCTCATTTTATTGACTCTTTAGAATCAAGCCACGCTTTCAGCTAGGTATAAAAGTATTGTATACCAGTGTTTTCATGTTATCAGTTTTATGCAATGGTGCTTTTATACCTCCCCATTTTCCATATAAGTATACTTAGGAATTCTAAAAAGAATTTCAAAATTCTAGAAGCTCAGAAAGAGCCTAGAACCTCTTGTCCTCGCAAAAGACTTCTATCCAGCTTAATAACTTGAATGTTACCTAATGAGACTCGAGCTGGAACGGCACTCTGATCCAGCCAGAACGAAACCCAGGAAACAATGACAAGCATGCAGCAGGGGATGTAAATTTGAATAAGGTAGTAACTGAATTCTCTCTTGAAGAGCAAGTCGACTTTGAGACAGCTATATTCTCCTGCAAGCATTAATTTCTCGTTAATTCTCTTTGTATCAATAACATGTTATCGTAAGCTGTGTTACACGAACCGGTGTTCGTTTTGCTGTTGCAATAGTCGGTGAGAAACTTCTCCAACGTGAATCGAGGCAGGTGTAAATTTTTAACAACTTGTACAGGATCTCCCTCTTTCCATATGAAAACTAAATCGTCGGTGGTCCAACCATCTGGAAGAAGTTAGGTTATATTAGATTAGGTTAGGTTTAAGGTAGGTACGTTTAGGTTATGTTTGGTTTAGGTTAGGTAGGTTTAGGTTAGCTTAGGCTATTAATTTCTGGAATTATCAAATGATAAATACTCACAACTTGCCATGCGCAGAGAACAAGTTTGCCGATCCAAGGGGTATAATTTTAAATTCATCGGGCACGATAACGTTAATGATATCCTGCAAAGGGTGGATATTAGGAATTTTTGTGATTAAACATTTGTTTGAAGGTACTCACCGTATACTGTATAGAACGGAACCATGTGGGAAAATACGAATGTACACGTTCGGCATAATAATATTGTGAAAATGACCCTCCTTCTCGTTTGAAAAGAACAAATCTGGCATCCAAACGCGACTCGCATCCGTTAACGTTAAATATTTCAGACGACCTGTAAAATATTATAGAATATTGTAATATATTATCAAATATTATAAAATATTATATAGCGCGGGTATACAATAAAATACGCACCTCCAAAATCATCAAAACGTAGCCGTTCATCCAGCCATTGTTCCCGGAACGTTAACTGTACAGAGTATTCCTGCGGATAAAGAAAGGGGAGGATTTAGCCCAGTGAATTTTAAGAAGCGAACAAAAGTTGCAAAACGCTCGAAATGATTTGTATTTCGAAATTTCTAATATGGCATGTGAAGGGTCGTCGATGGATCTTGTGCACGGAAATTTCAAATCCGACGTCAGAAAATATTCCCTATGAATCTTTAACGAAAAAAAATTTTCTTAAAATCATATTACACGTTAATTCATGGACCTTATCTATTTTGATAGCTAGGCTTACTCGGTTAGTTTGATTACGCTTATCACCAGATTCGTTGGAAAGGTTCGAGCAAATTCTTACATTCGAACAAATTTTTTTTTTTAACGTCAGATGTGAAATTTTTTTCTAATCATGAAATCTACCAGAATTGACAGGGTAAATGAAATGCGGTTGGAGGAAAACAAATTTGCATTCTTAATATTTTGATATACTAAATGGGTCTAAACCTGGAAGGTTCAGGAACTTTGTTCTAGAAAATTTTTATCATGTCACTCTTTTGTGATCATGTTTCAATTTATTTACTGACCTGGTTAACGTTGCAACTAAACACTGTTTTGTAGTAAATCAGATAATTTATCATGACGGGATTGAACCTGAGGATATAGGAATTTATGAATACACGTGATGTTTTGTTTTTACAATGTATCAGATAAATCAAAAAAAAGAAAAGCAAGAATTTTATTACTCGACCCCGAGCATATATGCATTCGTTAAATGAAATATTACCAAAGTGTTCAAAGTGAATATTTAACGAAGTAAAAGAACAAACGAAACAAAATGCCAGGCTCGACACAAAGTGAAAATATCTCAAAGGAAAAACGTAGGGCCGAATGAGAACGGTAAGCTGCATCAATAAACGTGAACGAGGTCAGTAATTGCGTAACACAGTCACTTTAAAGTCTGCAAGCAATTTTTTCTTTCGGTTATAATACGGAGCTCGACAGAGCGCGTATTAGCCAATTTTTTGGTTAACGGAAATTTCCCTGACAGGGGAAAAAAAGGAAACTAAAAGTTCGCTAGAAAAAAGGTTAATTTCTGGATCTATACTTAATTAACGAATCTTATCCTAGATCCTTTTGAACGTACTAAAAAGATACGTTTTTGAATCCTTTAACGCTCGTGAAGCTTCGGAAAACTCCGATCAAGTTCGTTCGAGTTCGTCTTTCGCTGTTCGAACCACGTGACGCTCTAACAAGAATCTATCCGTCTTGAACACTGACGAGTTCTTTCTTTCTTGAGATAAAAAAAAGTCCGCGAAGATCGAGGTGGAAAAAAAAAGGAAAAAAAAAGATCAGCCTTGGAAGTCGTTTTGGAGGTCGTAGGTAGTAAAGAGCACTTCTGCGACGACTAAAGGTCGCGGTGAATAATTTTTGTTCTTATTCTGACCATAGAGCGTTAAAGAATCAAGGCCGTGCGGATATCTTGCTGGAATGAAAACGTCTCGGTTGCAAAGAATGAGCTGAGAATATCGTAAGAAACACGGCAAACGAACAAACGGACAATGATGTTCAAGTATAGTTGTATCACATCGCGTGAAGCAATACATAAGAGAGACATGCAGACGAAGCAACATCGATGCTAACTACTACGTCTTTTCTACCATTGGGTTTCAACTACTTCAAAAACTACTCTACTGATTAATATATACAGTGATTCACATATTCGTTCATTAATTTGTGATGTATTCATTCATTTATGATGAATTCGTTAATTTAGTTTTAGTTTCAATTTGTTGAATTTGTGGTTTTAGGATTTATAGCACTTTGAATGCTCTCAGTAGTTGATTCATATAGTGGGATTTTTTAGGTATTTTTCTAAGTGTTTGATATGTGGGATTAGCTGATAATACAGGGTGTGCAACTAGTAGGTCCTTCAAATGACGGGATTTTGAATAAAATTTCCCTTCGCAAAATTGAAATCTGAAGCGTCGTTTTTGAATTATTAAGGAAAAAGCGCGGAACAATCAGAGCGCGACTGCGCATGCGCAGACGCGGGAGCGGCAGCTTCGAACATGGCGGCTGCGCGCACAACTCTCGCATTCCGATAGATTCGTTTTTTCTTAATAATTCAAAAACGAAGCTTCGAATCCCATTTTTGCGAAGGGAAATATTGTTCAGAATCACCTCAGCTACCATTTCAGAGACCTACTCGTTGTGAAACCCTGTACAAACACTTTTGATAGCAAGATAAGAGCATTAACGAACTGATAGCACTTAATATTTGATATCAAACTATTGATACCACACGTATTAATATTCACGTGTAGCTTGAAACCGAACAAGTTTCCTTAAATAGATTTATGTAACTTACTTCAGATGTCCAGCACTAGATATAGGATCACAAATTAACACAGGAACAACCATTAATATACCCGACTTCAAAATAAAAAATAAATTAGTGCATTATATATAGGAATCTTAAAATATTATTTTCCATAAAAATTTGTTAACAGAACTACAACAGTATAAACACTAACATAGTATTTTTTTAACCTTCCTTCTTACAAAAATATAAAAAAAAAAATTGTACACGTGTATTCATATGTGTCTTTATATTAAATTTAATTTGAAAAAACCATATCTGCAACTGAGAAATAAATTTGGAAAAATGAAGTGTCTAATAATGAAAACAATTTTATTCTTGAATGTGGTTGTTCCAGTGATAAATTCAATAAATACAGATTCAATAAGATCGAACAAATACGTGAATTAATGTATACAAGAATAAATACGTATATGTATGTACATTGCAGTGGACAACGCATGCATCTTGGCTCACAGTTTCATCTTTCCCAGCTGGATTTGTCCACACATCGACGTCGTCCTGTTTCTTTTCTACTTGGAAGGGGAAGTTAAAGGCAAGTGCTTCCAAACTTTTTAATTATTTCGTTTTACAGAAGCGTCATCTTCGATGACGTTAGAGATCCTGGCAGCGGATCCAAGTTAAAAATTCACCTATCAGTTCCGATTTTCAAATCTATTTGCTCGTCTGATAAGTTAGAGTTTTCATAAAGATCGGGTAATTCGAAAAAAGTGTTCAGGGCATTCCATAAGACAGGAAATTTTTTGAACAAAATGTAGAATCTCATGGAACCCCTCACTGGGTCATTCTAGACCCTCAATTTCTCATAAATAGAAATATTTTCTCTAAAATAAAATTTTGCTAACGGGTCAAAAATGTCCCAGCTTCCCAAAAGATTTCCCTGTCATTTTCGTCTCAAATAAAAATAAAAAAATTGATAACCAATAGTCAGATGTTAGCACTAGAAGAACAATTTTCGGTGTTTAATTATAAACGCGGCTCCTCGGTAAAAGGATTTCTTATCATATTTGACTTGGTAGATTGTCTGTGCTCCTTCAGAGTTCATCGTTCAACAGCTTCTCTATTATAAAAATGTAAACGCGCGATGATACGAAGGTTCTCGTTCATAAAGCGACGCTTAATTATTCAAGATTCTTGATCGATTTCGTGTCATGAAAGTGGTATCTCGTACGTTCATTCAATTCATTCACTTTCGCTTTCATGAATACATTACACGCAAACAGTAGGAGTCAGCTAATAATCCGACTCTCGGTCTTCCGACTTTAACCCTTTGTGCGCCTGTTCGCGTGAAAACGCATCACGTAATTAAAGTTAATATCAAATTTCAGGATAAGGCAAAGGGTATATATTAGCATTTCTAGGATGTAACACCTATTTTTATACGTCGCTTAATTCGCGAAATGGTTAAAGCTTAAGTTCGCAACAGGTGTTGCAATTGGACAAAGTATCGAAGAGCTTCAATTTTCTAAATAGCAGATTATCGCTATCATAGACTGGATCGCTAGCTTAAGTAAATGAGTGTATGCGTGTAAATGATCGTAAAAAAAATAAAAAGATGAAGATTAGAAGCAAAGGAGGATCGTCCCATAAACGAACGATACATACCGTGTCGTCCATTCAAACGTCGAATACGAAATGTTCCTGCATGGAAAAAGTGATTGTTTTTCTGTATCATCAAGCTTACGACTGCCTAAATGCATGATTTTCCTTTGAATCGCTCTTAATATCTTCTTTTAACTCTTTACAAAATTCGCTGGCTCTTTTGCCTTACGAGTTTCGACCTCTGCTTATAATTATAACTTAGTTATAACTTGGACAATATAACTTATATACTTGTACAATTGTACTTGTACAGTTATAATTTATATACAGTTAGTATACGACAGTAATTTATACAACCGTAGTTTGTTACAATAGAAAATGTACAAAAGAGTATACTTTGATATACAGGTTATTAAAAATGAAGTCGTAAGGCAACGAGAACATATTCTTTGAAGGACCTCCACTACTGGAATTGGCCTGTTATGATCGATGATATAATCATTAATCGATGATTAAGCTCCTTTGACTCGTTAAATGTGATTAATGAGCAAACACACAAATAGAAAAGATTTGGACGTTGAGAGACTGAGGTGAAGGTAGTGATGGGTTCGAAATTGTTCAAATAGTTCCGAGTCTTCGATAAGTAGTGATGGGTTCGAACTTGTACAAATAGTTCCGAGTCTTCAATAGGTAGCGATGGGCTCGAAATTGATCAAATACGAGTCTTCAAGATTTTAACAATTAATATAAAGTCTCAAACAAAATATAGTCTAAAGAAATATTTTCAAATGCTTCGCTAATTCTTGATATTAGTAGAAAACCCATCACTATAGAGACAACACATAAACATGCTTAGAAGAAAAATATTGAAAGAACAATTAATTCCACTGTCGGAGAAAAGATCTCATGCTGAGACACGTATCAGAGAAGCAAGGGCGAAAGATTGAATCGCGTGTACAAAAGAGCACCGTCTTGACACGCGATGAGCTTGATTTTATCATCATCACCTTTACACTCAACGTGTTTGCGATGTTCTTGATGGCAAGCCATTTCGCCAACGATCTTATCGAGCTTTTCCTTTCGGAGTCGAAAGTCACATAACGTATTGCTAAAATTCATGA